CGTGATCACAGAATTTATGGTTATATGGCCCAGGAGTAAAGGGACGGATATGTTTTTATAAAAGGAAGGGAAAACCTTGAGTTTTGAATTGAAATTAGAAATATTAGCAATCTAGATCTGGTAACAGCAGAAGTCCTGTAAACCCACTTTATGAGACTTCTCTAACATCATCTCAGGCTGTTTTATTGCTTTCTTTCTTTTTAAAAAATAGTGCTATGACTCATGTAGTCATTCCTTTTCTTTCTTTCTTCCCTTTTTCTTTTTGTGTTACAATTATTCTTTCAGGTCCTGAAACTGACTTTTAGAGGTTTACCTGTGGAACTCAAGCTGTTTACAACATTGTGTTTACAGGATAATAAACCAGTTACTTTTCTTTAGCATTAACTGGGAAGTAAAAGGTAAGGAAACACAAGGTTCTTCACAATCAGTGAAGTTTTGGAGGGAGTGAATTTTGAAAGCAGACAAGGAAATTTAAAAAGTAAATATTTCAAAGTGGAAGAAGAAGAGGAAGGGAAAGCTGAAACTAGAGCAAAGCCATACAAATAGATGAAGCAAGATGGATACAAATAAAAGGCAGAGAGATCTCTCACCACAACTGAGAGGTTGAGTTTGGAGAGAGGGGAGAATAGGCTTAGTGTGGTATTAGGGTACCCCTAAACATGGGGAATTTGAAGCTGACATCTGGAGCTTTTTACTACCATCTCCGTAAAGACAGCCTTACCAAGAGAGGTAACTAACTCCTTAGGTGTCAGCTCATGAGAGCTGAGACATCAATCTGCTCTCAGGTCCAGCCTCAGCCTTCTCATTGATTTCAGTCAGCAAATCTGTATTCCTAATGTGTCTGTAATAGTTTCACATCACTGCTTCTTGTTAGAAATTTTTTTTAAAGTATTTATTTTTTTAAAGTATGTATTTATTTATTTTTTGTGTAGACGAACTGGGGTGCAGGCCAGAGATGTGGGAGGGGAGCCAGGTGGGTTGGGAGAATTCACCAAAGACAGAGTAAGAGCAAAACAGGCAGATTTTTTACTGAAATACACTGCTAAGGGGAGCAGCAGGTGAGATAGGAGAGTACTGCTGCACCATATGTGGATTAGCTCTGTGGCTAGGGATGGAACTCAGGAATTCAGGCCACAGTGGTGATAGCACTGAGACTTAACCCCTTGGCCACCAGGGAGGTCCCCTAGACATAATTTTTAATTAGCATTTTCTTTTGTAATATTAGCATCAGTTAAAGACACTAATTGGACTCATTCATTAAGTAAATGGTGACTATTGTAGTCACTACAAAAGAATCTGTCAGGAAGCCCTTAAGCAACTGTGGCCCCTTGTGGAGTCTGCCTACCTGGTGCAGGTGGATGGAGGAAGGTAAAGATGTGATTCAGACAATTATGTACTAATTACTGATCATTTTACACTCATTATTGAAGAACTGCCAGTTATTTGGAAATTAAGTCAATATGATGAAATTGATAGTTATGAAAATTAGTATTAAAATAACTTCCATAAGCATTACCTTGATAAATATTTTAAAATAATATATTAAATACATTTTAAAATAATTTCCATGGTTTCACATGATCATCAAAGGGCATTAATTAAAGCACTATATTATCTGTGGGAATGTGTTAGCTATCCTACAAGAAAGTAACATTTAAAGACTAAATTCCCATTTCTAGGTTTATAAGATTTACAGACTGCCATCTAGCAAGAAAACATTTAGTAGAGCCTTTAAATCTCTGAATTATAGTTTGGAGAAATGCTAGAGTATTTGATTTGTAAGAAAACTAGGTATTTGAGAGCCCAGGAAATACATTAAATGCTAAAAATGCTTGATATGTGGAAGTTACAGAATTGTTTCTTGAAACTTTATTGCTTCTAGAAATGCCATGAAGTCATAATGTTTGCAGCAATGCAAGTATTATCAAACCTCAGGAATGAAGAAGATAATTCTTCAAGTGCCTGGAAGGACTAATTAAGGCAGACAAATTGGGTGCCAGGTTCTTGAGGGACCCCAGAATTTCATAGACTCACTAATTGGCACCAGAATCATTTTGGACTAGTAAGCTAGGTGGGGCAAAGGTAAACAAAGGGAACAGATGGTGCATATTAAAGTTACTATAAAGTCAATTTCAAAATATATGACATCACCAGAGACTTCTGGAAAATAACGACAGGCCAAGCTTACATGCAACTATCATGGTTAGAACAAGGAACTTTTGACCCAAAGCTTGATATTGAATAATCTGAAACAATCATAAACAGCAGCAGGCTCTGGAGTGATGAGTCAGCCCACCTTTGCAAAAGGGACTTTGTGTTTACTCACTCACCCGCTGAACCCATACTGAACATCTATGATGTGACAGATGTGGTTCTATGTGTGGCAGAAATAGAATTGTATGCAAAAACTTACTCTCTGAGATGGCAGAAGCATCAGTGATTATAATAAAACTAAAATGTAGCAAAGTTGTCTTAATATCAGGTGTGTATGGAGTCTGTTTGTAAAGGCAGACTGGATCCAAAAGGTAGACGAACTTGAATACTAGATTATGAAGTTAGGACTTTATTCTGCAAACAGTTCTGCACCACCTGATGGTTTTCAAACAAGAAAGAATCAGGAAGGTTGGTCTATTTGTAATGAAAAGATGTGTTAGAGAATGGAAGAGAGGCTAGATAGCAGATAATAGCTGGAAAACGCTCTAAATTGAAGAGACAATGAAGTTCAGAACTAGGATAGCAGTGGTTGAAATGGACAAGGGTAGATGAGTGCCATTCTGCTGAGATGGAAACATGTCTCATCTATACCAGTTACCCCCTCACTGTCTCCCGCAAAGGATTTCCAGTAGTTTACATCCAATTAACAATGCAGATAGGTGAAGACCAGAAACATAAAGGAACAATAAATAGTATGATAAGGTCAGAGAGACAGTTACTTTACAGAAGGCTACATTCATAAAGTTCCATATAATTACTAAAATTGATTTATGATCAGGTACATAGTCCACATTGTCTGAAAAATGACAGATAAGGAAAAGTAAAGCTTTTTAGGGTACTTGTGGAGTAGAAAATTTCCTCTTTTCAGACCTCATCGAAAGAACGTTAAGTAAGGGTGTGACCAACACCTCCCTCCAATATATCCAACATGGAGTTCTTACGTGGCTATTTCTTTACAACCTCTCGAAGCAAACTCAGACGTGATGACAAATGACCCCTTGACCAGTGATCAGAGAGAGGGGAGCAGGAAGCCTCAAGGATAACTCCCCAGAGTGACTTAGGAGTGGTTTCCTACCCTTGTGCCTACAACAATATTCTGCCAGATTTTCTCCTTCTGTTATCCCATGGCAATATAATCACCTCTAGCTGTGCTTTTGTGTTGCAAAGGGTAGCAATTTAATATACTCTCTCTTGAATTATTAATTTATTATTTATGAGCCTTGGGAATTATAGATACCATCAAAAGAAAACCTACATTTTCTCTTCTCTGTCTTTAGATAGTAATTTGAGTAGGCTTCAAAGGAAAATGCAAGCAATCAAGAAAACTTTATATTTTGAAACTTAAAACTTATTAAACTTAAATGCAATGAAGTTCAAAAAGCGCCATGATTTTCAGTTTCTCTACGTGAGAGCATGTGCAGTCACATGAAACAAAGTCTTCTAATAAATCTGAGCCCTTCCTTGAAAACACAGCCTCACTCCCCTGTCCTCCCGGGAACTAGGGCGGTGATTCCATAGGAAGAGTTGTACCTTGACCTCTGCTTCTTTGTGCCCCTGCCCAGAATGGGAGCCAGCCTTCCTTTGGCACTGGCACTAATAAAGCCAAACCTTGTTGAATTTAGCCTCATTCTGGGTGGGACTAATAGTGTGTTAATTATGGGGTGGTCCCAAATGACCAAAATTTATATATTATTGTATATGAGATAACAGATTGTAGGACCTAAAGTCTAGATTCCACAAACTTGAATTATTAGGACAGAGGTTCCCCCAGTCTTTGTTGAGAGAAATGGTCTGCATTCCAGATATAAGGAAAACTAGGATATTTTTGCTCCCACACAGCACATTGGGATATGATCCCCAGTCCTCAAGCCACCATTGTAACATCAAAGGACCCAGGAGGGTGGAGATGATCTATTCTGGCATAGATGCTGACCAAATCAGTGTTACTTTTTACTAAAAAGATGAGAAGATCGTCTCCTTGCACAACCACTAGGTGGCAGAGTTTCTATATCAAAAGCTGTTACCAGTTGGAACTAAATGTACTGATGATGCATTTTTCATATAGCCAAAACTCTGAGGCTGTTTTGGATTTGAATGAGCATAGGGGATTTTACCCAACTGTAGATTTTATCGTCATGAAACGCATCTGCAGAGATTTGAAATTAGCTTCTGAACTAGGAGACAGGTAGCTTCTCTACCCCCAACTCTGTCTTTAGCTAGCCCTGTGCCTGGGAACAATGAATGCCACTGGGCCTCAATGAACTTATTTGCAAAATGAAATGATTGGGAACTAGATTATCTGCACCTTCCAATTCAGGCAGGCTTTTTTTCTGTATCACTTTGTAGTTGAGCCTGACCAATATGCTAACTCACTTGGTCTACTTGGTACCTACTATTATTCAGTAAGTGCCAACTAACCAAAATCGCTGATGTTTATTGAGCATCTACTAGGCAGAACTTTTATGAGTATTGCCTAATGTAAGTCTCATGACAATCTGATTATCCCCATTTTACAGATGAGGAAACTGAGGTTTCCAGAATTTAAGTAACTTGCCCAAGACCATGTAGATATGGGCAGGGTGGTCTGATTCTGTAATCTGTATGTTAACGGTTGCTATATTCCATGTCTTATTCAGCTGAGAAAAATATGAATTTAAACACATTGTCTCTGAAAGAACCCATTGTGTGAATCCAAAAACCTCAGTTTTTCAAGGGAAGTAGATTTAGGTTTCTCCTCTCTGGAGATGGGGCAGATTTGCATGGATCTGTTGTCACACTGTCGTGAGATGTCTACCTATGAGTGCCAGCATAGTAACCTGGCTCCAGTTCCACACACTCACCAGCAGGCCTTCAGTTCTATCAGTGTTGTGTTTTCTAAAAACTTCAGTGTCGCTGAAGGAATTCCTACACCAGGTAATCCCTAGGGGACTTTCCAGGTCTAGAATTATTGACTGATGTGTCTATAATCTGATCCAGGGTCTAATGTTAGCCAGATGGAAGCTGCTCAGTAATGGGACTCTCCCCCACTTAGCAGTTGCAGTCCAGCAATATCACACTTAACATTAGTGCTGTTTGTTAATGAATTAAAAGTTTTTTCCCTTTCGAGAGGTAAGAACAAAGAGTGAAGGAAAAGAACAATGGACTGTGGTGGTGGGCTAGGGCTGGTTGGGTGGTGGATGCACTGTGGTGACAATACTGAGGGGAGTAGCTAAATGTTACCTAAATTAAAAAATTAATTAATTAAAACACATTTCCTCCCTTTCTTGGGGGCAGGAAACTTATATAGCCTCACAACCAATGTCTTGTTTCAGATCTAATATCTGGTGTTTGAAGCTCTCTCAAGGAAATAATTCACTGCAGACAGAGGCGCCTCTTGCTAAGTCAAAACAAAGCTCCCAGGTTTAGTAGAACATGAATAATTCTTTTTTTAAGTTTATTTTATTATCATGCCTGTAAAATCCCCCCCCTTGTTTTGATCCTACTCCCTTCTCTCCCCCCCACCCCGTGTGTCTCTGGTTTAGAGTTGCCTGTTGATTTTTATTTTACTTTATTATATTTACATTTTCTAAATTTCTGCTATTAGTGAGACCATACAGTATTTTTCTTTTTCTTTCTGGCTTATTTCACTGAGCATGATCCCTTCCAGCTCAATCCAGAACACGAGTAATTCTTTGAGTAGACAATAGGTGGCAGTACAACATCAATTTACACCTGATAGTTAAATCTAAACCTTTACTCTGGTGTCACATTTTATTATTTTAGACGTACATTAGGTCTGAAGCAAGAATTATTAGATAAAGAAATTCATTTAACTTGTCTTGTATCTGACTACACATATTAAAATGCTCTATGAACAATTGGGTTGAGTATACCAGTGATTTTTCATTTCCTTTTTCTTAAAGAGGGTTCCCCAAATTATATAAGCTTATAGCTCCCGAAGTTTGGACTTGTCTGGAAATAACCCTGGGGCCCTTTTAACTTAGGAAAGGATAAACAATCTTGCCATGCTTCATTCTCTACCAACTTAATCTCCAGGGAGAATAACAACTTTTTTTTTTTACATAAACCAAATAAAAAGGAAGTATAAACAGCAACTAAATGAGGTGGCAAATATTCCATTATTTATGAGTCTGTAAAATGGAGCTTTTAACACTGAAACTCTTTCACTTCTGGCAGCATAGTATTGATGATAAAAAGGAAAGTACAGGTTATACTTAGCATATTAATAAATTATCCTCTGCTAAAACTCCAGACTGATATGGCAGCATTTTGGAGGATTTTTCTTATTTTTTAACCCAAAAGGTAGTATCTTTAGTAAGAGACCAGGAGTGACTATTCACAAAGGAAAATGTACTTCCATTTTCAAATCTTAAATTTCTCACCAGAGAGCCAAGTTTAGCATTTCTTGTGACCACCTATGGCCTACTCCTTAGGAGTTAAACTAAATTTTACCTTTGGAAAAGAAAGCAAAATTTCCAAATGACCTTTCCTGTTGTAAAAACTCAACAAAGTTGTTGTATACACTAGGCTAGGGAGATGTATCTATGTTTACTTCCATATATAACAATCATTTAGAATTAATATATTACTGCCTGTTTGATAAGCCTCTATATCTACTAGACCTGAATATTCTTGAGGGCAGGGGATGGATTTGTTTCCTTTTATACACTTTCTACACCTTTGATGTATGACATGTAGTAGGAGATTTGAAAATGCTTGCTGAAAGAATGAATGGTTGACATTGTAAATAAGATCACTTGGGGCGTCAGAACCTTCCAGAGTGATTCTAGAGCTATTATTTGTGTGTAATATATTGTGAAGGTCATGTTTCAGGAGACAAGGCTGTGAGTAAGTTTACTATGAGAAGAAGTATTATGTATGACCCTCCAGAGAGGACCTAAAAAATGTTTATGGGATGGCCAGAGCATCTGGGGTTGGTGAGAAGCTGATTCCTGCTTGTGAATCCATTCAGTCCATACATTCCGTGGCCTCCTTCCACTTCCCCACCCAGTTCTGGAGCCAACTTTGAAATAATGGCACCTGTGCTCAGGTCCACAGCTGCCCTGCTGTATCTGGGTCAGGAGGAAAGGGAAGTCAGCCAACATCTCATCCTCCTCCTCCCCTCAAGGGAGGTCAGAGGTTATTGGCTGTAGCACAAAGATTCAGCATTTCCTGTTTCAGAGCTAAAGGTGGTGCAAGTACCTTCCTAAGCTATCTGTACTACCCCCCACCCCCTCCCTTCCTTCACTTTAGTTTTTAGTTGAGAAACTAAACCTACCTTCCATCTAGAAGATCATGACCCCAAGCATATAGAATTGACCCTTGGATGGCAAGCAAAGTCCTATTAATTTACCCCCCAAATCAGATGGCCAAGCAGGTCCCCGGGTTCTTCTCAGCACATGAAGAAACCAAAATCATGACTTTCTGATCTGACAACTCAAACTCAGTCATGAATATATATTGACTCTACCTCTAACAACTGTAGTGAATGTGACAAACATGTTTCAAGACAGAGCCAGGGAGGTGATATTACACACACCAACCTCCAGGTCCATGCCCTCCCCTACTGCATTTTTCCTGACAGAACCCCACTTTGTTTGGCTGCCAATTCTCTGCACTCTGATGTCCTTCAGGTTCTCAGTCTCCAGAGGGAAGGTCAAGCAGCTGGTTTAGAGAGAAGGCTGAAGAGAAGGCAACCAGGTGACTTGAGGGGAAGATCTCCTCACTTCCAGGAGAGATCTGCAGGAAGAGATAGTCTTTTCGTCTGTTGTACTTGTCTTATTCACATGAGATGCCAGAACTGAAATGGCCACTGAATTCATCAATTAAATTAATTAATTAAACCAAGGCAGTCCACCCTCTTTTTTAATATGTGATTTTATTTTTTTAAAGATATTTTTATTTGTGCGTAGAAGAGCTGGGGTACAGGCCAGAGGGGTGTGTGTGGGGGTTGTGTGTGAGAGGACTCACTAGAGACAGAGTGGGGAACAGAACAGGCAGACTGACTGAAATACACTGCTGGGGGGAGCAGCAGGCGAGACAGGAGAGGTCTGCTGCACCATGTGGGTATCTTCCTGGCGGGCCGGGGATCCAATTCATGCTGCAGAGGCTGTGGATTGCTTCATAGTGTGATGCTTTAACCTCTTGCGCCTCCAGGAAGGGCCCTTTAATATGTGATTTTAAGCTTAATTTTTTTAAATTTTTATTTATTTTTTTGTGGGACCCTCGCTGGTGGCCGGGGATCGAACTGGCACTGCAGAGGCTGCGGGCAGCCTCGCAACCCAGTGCTCAACCGCTGCGCCACCAGGGGAGGCCCTTAAGCTTCATTTTTGATTAGTGATTAGTGACTTTCTTTTTTTGTAGGCAAAGGGATCCAATGCTTTAGGTAAGGATCAGAGCATAAGAAAAATATATAAAAAGAGCGCCTTTGTCAGTGTTTGTTTGTGTTTTTAATCACACTCTTCTAGCAGGAAGAGTTCATTCCTTTTTGGAGTTAACAATACAAAGCTTCAGAAGCACATGGAGTTCATGATTATCTCCACAGTCTCTATAGAGTCTCACGTTTAGCTCTAGTCTCAATGGACACATTTTGTTTTTCAGAAAGGAAAAGCATAAATAAATATTAAAAGTGACAGACTTCCTTTATATTTCTAGCTTACTTTTATGGTTTATAAGATCAAAATGGTTGGAATCTGTTTTCAAGTCTTCTTTTGCTTATTGCTCCTCTTAGTTCATTTGGGAGCAGAAAGGCAAGGTGAATATTGAGGGTTAGGGTAAATGAAACAATTACTGAAAACAGGTCTTGATTCAGAGATACATTCATGGTAGGACTTTATCACCTCCTCAACCTTCAGATACTTTTCAGTTGTTATATAAATTTTCCCGAGTTATGCAGAGTTCCCCCTATGCCATAATATATACCATCTTTAAATTCCTGAGGAGAGATTTCTCCTCAAAAGTAAACTTCAGTGAGTAGTAGAAATGTATTTTATAAGTACTTATATATGGCATAAAATGTTGCAGCAGGGAAACTGTTCAGAGTAATAACTTATACAGAATAAAATTGTGGTAGGACCAGCGAAATTCTTTATTTCAGTTCCCTTTGATACTGATGAATTATCTTTACTATATACAGGTATTACTTTTATAGTACAAAGTTGAGGTGGGGAGACAAAAAGATATTATTGCTGCTAACATATCTTCACATTGTCTATAAAGTAAAGAATAATGTTTTTGAAAGATGTAACACCATAGAGTTCTCCAAATTATGCTCATAGATAACACTCCTGCTGATATTACCATATTGATTTAAGCCTCCCTGGACCTCTAACCTGTTAGTGCTCTACTGTGTTATCTTTAGTCACTGTGGAAATCCCAAAAAAGCTTCTATTTCTTCTGTGAAATGTTAGACTTGGGTTGTTCCTTTTCCATCTCATTTGCATTCTTTATGCAAAGCCTTTATCCTGCTCCAGTATCTTTATCCAGACTCATTTAAACACTTAAGAACTATATCAACCTTTGTATCAGTTACAATGCTCAGTTGCAGATACAGAAAACACTCAGCTCAAAATGGAGTAAAGAATGGGGCTTTTATAGCATAACAAGACTGCAGGACTGGTCTAGGATTGGTTGATTCAGCTACTCAACAATATATTTGAAAATTTGTGTTACTCTCATATTTCTGCCTGCTTTCTCCTCCATCTGTTATCCTTTGATTACTAATGCCATTCACGGTCATAAGATGACTGTGAATTGATCACATGCAGTGTGACACTGGTCTAAAGGAAGAAGAACTATTTCCTTCTGTAAACTTTCTTTTTAAGGGAAAGATCTTGGCCCAATTCCTGCATCAGGTGGTCCTTGCATTTCACTGGCTAGAATTTTACCAGATAAGTAGGGCAAAGTACAAATACTTTAGAGGATCAGGGAGACCTAAATCGATGTGTTAATATTAGAAAGAGAAATATGTTGAACACTTGCCTAAATCAAGTCCTGGCAGGGGAATGGGCCAGAAGAATTAACCCCATCGTGACTGACTATCAGAGCTAGAAGCGTCTTCCTCTGAGGCACATATAGGATGGGTATCTGAACAAAATCAGGGTTATCAGCAAAGAAAATGGGGGAGGGGAAGAGACACTGGCAATTCTGATAAAGTGATTAGGGGTAGGTAGCCCCAGAGTTTGCTGGAACACTTATTTCCATTCCTTTTAAATCTAATAAATGACAATTATATTTCCTTAAAAGAAAAAATTTCCTAGGAACAATTCAGTTCCATTTTCCCGGTAGCTTAGATTCCTTCTCCAATTGGAATTCAATTCCCTCTTTAGTTCAATGTTCAGGAAATCTACAAATTTCTTTTTCTTTAATTCCCCTAAGAACAATGATGGTAGAACATAATATGAAATTAGATTGCTTTCATGCTGAAATCTGTCTAGCTAGCTACTTATCTACCTATTTATCTCTAATTTGTTTTCTGTATAGTTTAAAATAAATCTGTTAGCCGCATGGTGAAGTCATCAAGTTTAACTTATAAATGTATTATGAGTGCCAAATTATCTGTATTCCTGTGTAGGTTTTGAAGAATGATTCAATATTTTGACTGAATGGAAATATACATCAAGAAATTACCTTTGGGGCCTCCCCGGTGGCGCAGCGGTTGAGCGCTGGGTTCCGAAGCTGCCCGCAGCCTCTGCGGCGCCAGTTCGATCCCTGGCTGCTCCCCGGCCACCGGAGGAGGGTCCCACATGGCACGCAGACCTCTCCTGCCGCCCGCTGCTCCCCTCAGCAGTGTGCTTCGGTCCTTCTGCCTGCTCTGCTCCCCGCTCTGGCTCTGGTGAATTCTCTCACCCTCCCGCGCTTCTGACTGTACCGGGTGCTTGTATAAATAAATAAATAAATATTAAAAGGAAAAAAAAGAGATGGCGAGCATTTAAAAAAAAAAAAAAAAGAAATTACCTTTGGATTTCTTGAGTTCTCAAGGTTCTGAAACACTGATACGTTGACATAACTGTGTCTCCACTCTTCACAGAGCTCCCGAAGCACCGGATGACAGCAACGTGACTGGAGAATCTCAGTTTACATCACTCTGTGGGGAATCCCAGAACTTTCACAACACCAATGATATGCCTGGTCCTTTACCTACAGAGTCTGGAATCTTCAAAAAGGTAATATTTCATTTCTAGTACTTGACTTCCGGGAAAAAACACTTTCATGAACTGAACAACATAAGATAACCCCCCGCCTGACAGAAAAACACTTGAAAAGAATGTAGGTGGGCCAAAAATGCATTATGTATCAAAGCACCGTGATAATGAATAATGAGGCTCAAGGGATGAATCTTTGCTCTTTGCTGCCTCCAGATGGTCTTCCTCATTGTCATGGGTACTTTACGCTGAATTTGTTCTTTTTTACATAGATTGTATTTTAACTCAAAGGTATACAAAGGAATAAGGCATCAATATTAGAAATTAGTTCTTTGTCATAAAAAGCATTTATACTGCTTCCTACTGTATTTAGAGTTGTAATTGTGGTATCAGTAGTTACTTCTTAATATCTACATGTTTGCACAGAAATTTCTGACAATTATATTTCCTTAAAGAAAAACTTTCCCAAAGGTTGTAGATTGAGAAGTATATGCATGTTAAATGATTTACTCATAAAAAGACACAGATGAAGTGGGACCCAGCGCAGGAGAGGAGCCCACAGGAGAAGGGCCAGAACTCCAGGAGGGAGCAAGTGGAGGGAGAGAGTCGTTCTGGTTACGCTGACTTCAAGTGTCACTTGAAATGGGGTCAGCCAGACACCGCCTGTACTCACTAGCTGCTCCACACCCTCTGCCTCAGTCAAATACCCACAACAGGAAGAACTGGCTCTGGGGTCCACTTCTGGATCTGCTGTTACCTCTCTCCCAGCCCTGTCTACACCTCTCTCCCAACTCCTGCATCCCTGCTTCTTACTTCCGCCCTCTTGGGCTCTCCTCTCTTGATCTTTCTCATCTATGTGTCCAACCAGAGCTGGGAAAAAGGAAAAGGCAGTGCAACAGACTCCCCACTGATGTCTTTTCAGCCCATGGCTGAGTGGAGTTAACCAGACAGTCCTCAGAAGAACTATACAGAAAACTTTGTTCACCCACACTACCACCTGGCCAATGTGACTGGGAAACAAAAATTGACTCCACTTAGATTCTGGGTAGTTCCTACCTACAGTGAGTAACAGGATACCAGGGCACCTCCCACCCCTTCCAAATACCCTTCTCTTAGTCCACTCTCCCAGATTCCCATAACTTCCTGTGAGATTCAGCAGGTTTAGGAGACAATTATATCAGGAACACCCTTGGCATCTTTCCCAGGCAGAAGGCCTTAAATTCTTAAGAACACTGAGTTGATCTTATTGCTGAGCGATGAGATCCTCTACCTGCCATGCATGGATCAGATAGTGACATCAGGTATTTGAAAAGAGAAACTTGCTTAATTTTTTAATCCATTGCCGAGGAAGTAGGAAATCAACTCAAATCTACTTTGATGCTTAAGAAAGGAAAAGAGGTCATGAAGGTTTTGGGGAACCAGGTTTGAGAACAAAGGAGTTAAATTTTATTGTCTGAAAAAAGCAGGCTAGGGGAAAGAAATGTGGACTTATCTGAAGCTCATCGGTTAGTCATAGGGCGCTTCACACATGAAGTTTGAAGAGGCTTTTTCTTTTGAGTTTCTGCTGGTGGGCCCCTTCCTCTTCTGGGTTCTTGGTCCTGAGCCTCAGCTTATGTTATTGATAAGCTTCCAGCTTTTGCTGATTCTGTAAAAGCAAGTCTCAGAGAGAAAGCTTTTTTCTTTTCATTCTTGTATTTCAGGTACTCAAGGGTTTGAGGCCAATTTAACACCTAGCCTTGGTTGCAATCTAACCCTCAAAGTTGTATCCATTTCTTCAAGCCAGTGTTTAAATTTTTCATTTGCATTAATGTTAAGCAATTTGCTTTTTCCAAAACAACCAGAATTTATTCATTGTATCTGTTGTTTACATACTATGCTATTATATTTGTTTATTTGTTTACCATGCTGTTAAAATTATTTAAAGTTGACAATTCTATATTGAGTCCTTTAATTAAAATAAAACATTTCCTATACCTGCTTGTATAAACGGAAATGTGGACTTATAATTACAAAGCAAGTATTGCCTCTCAACACACATATACATTACTAGAAAGAAAGCACAACTATAAGTCAAAATAGAGTATCACTATGTTTTTAATCTTAGATGGGAAAAGTCACCAGGGATTTTATATTTACATAGACAAAGCAATTTTTCCTTTAAATGTCTTCATAAAATCTTTGCTCAGTTTTAAAGTAGTAGATATGATTATGTAAAATATTTACATTTTTTAAGAAACCATTGTTTTATATGAAAGAAAAACATAAGGAGGTAATCTCTTTAATTGAAGACATATATTATGTGACATATGTGACTAGCATGTTGAATATTCTTTGCATGTAAGAGGATTGATATGGTAGATTATGAAGTGTTTTGTATTTTCACATATATACTTATCTTTATTATGTTATATTTACTGCTTAATTGATTTTGCAAATAAGAATGTCTTAAATCCACCATATTTGCAGGACATGAGGAAGACCCTTTGTTAATTAAAGCATTCCTTTAAAAACAAATAGAAAAATAATACCGAGTGATATATTGCTAATTAAAAATAATATCTTCAAATTGGGCAGTTACCTTAATGAGTATTTCAGTGATTTCTACTATAAAAATCCCCTCAAATTCTAATCGCTTATTTTGATCTAGAACATCATTTGTGACTGAATATAGTAATTATAAATGAAATTATCATAGTTTCAGTCATTCTGGAGCCCATTTCAAACAAGTAAAATGGCATAAGCAGATACAGGTACAGAAATTATTTGATTCATACAAGCAAAAAGCATTGGCTTTAATTGTTTGAATCTTGCCTTCTCAATGATCACTGTGAAGCCTCTCCCATTGTCTATGTGTCTTTCTTAAAAGGAAAAATAAAAACGCCCCAACCCCCCAAAAAATCTCAAATTTTCCTATAGATTACCTATAATCTATGGAGAAGAAGAAATCTTGCCAGATCAGTGTTGTTCCTTCAGAAGTCATTTGTACAGATCTGGATACATGTCAGTGCTTTAACGCCCTGACCTTCAGGAAACATCTGTGACTCCCTAACTTCACTCTGGAGTCTGGGATGCTCTCACATCATCCAAAGCAGGCATGTGTCTTCTTCCTTTCAATTATCTCAGAGATGGTTCCACCATCATTTGGACAGCTTTCTCATTGCTCAATTAATCTCATAATTGTCAAGGTGGAGCATTTCCCAGTTTCCAGCCAGGTTTGTCTAGTTTAGTCAATATGTATAATAAATCAGCTCAACAAGCATTTGTTGAGGTAGCAGAGAAGAAAAAACATTTTCTGACACTTTCATTTCTCAAGTAGCCCAGGTGGTTGAAATTTTAAAGAGGATGTCCCATTTCTTTCCCCACACCCTTTATTTCTTCTTATCTACCTTTCTAATTGCCACATAGGACCACTGACTCCCAGCTTTACCCCATTACTTAGACCAAACCAAGTTCATAACATGAAGTACATTATGTACTGCAGATTCCTTCACCCCTACCCCCAGGGACTGCTGTTGTTTCTCCTCCACTGTTGGACTAGCCTGTGATTGAGTACATGAACATCGATCGCTGGGCTCCCACATTTTGTGCCAACTCACCAAGGTTGCTAATATTACTAAAGACAGTCCTAAAATTATCCTGCCTGAAATCAAACCTTCCAAATCCTGAAACCTAAACCCAATCCTAGCCCTGAGACTGAGGCATTTACTAAGACTAGGTCTTCCTTAAAGGACTTACAAACACCATCCATCCACTCTGAAACCACATTCCTCCTACCTAATGGTGCCATCTTAAATAGTCTGTGCCATTTGATATTGTGATTAGAGATGACCGAGCCCTTGAATTACCTTGTCCCAAATCTCTGCTTTGTGATCAGGCAGACCTCAGCATCATTTTACCCCAGCACATCCTGGGCCGCACCCTCTCTACACAGTTGGTCAGATGCCCAACTTAAACTCATCTCTCACTCCTTTCCATACTTTCTGCATGCAGCAGTCTCTCTAAGCTCTGTTAATACTGGTCTAAAAAGCTAAATATACTGTTAGGAAAAAAATTCAAGATAGAGAGCAAAGCAAATAGCTTGTTACATTTTGTGTAAAAAATTAGGGGATTAGAATATATATTATTATTAGAATATATATCTGTAGATGTAATAAGAAAGTATAGAAGGATACATTAAAAATGAATTATTATAATTATTACCTATGATAGAGGTAGGGGGAAATGAATATATAGGGAACATGGGTGGGACGGGGACTTTTTAGTATGTACTTTTTCATATTTTGAATTTTGAGCTATATAGAGGTTTTGCCTATTCAAAAAATTTTCAAGATGGAGGCATGAATAGATATAATTTAAATTATATTATGATTACATTAAATTGAAATGATTTAAGTATACAAGTATAATTTTTTATGAAACTCAGATTTACTATAAACTGTACCAGTCTTGATTGTGCTAAATGAGGGCCTACTGTGGTTCACTTCACAGGCCATTCTACTGCTTTTGCATATACTTTTTCTCATGTCCACAAAACCTCTCCACTTCATCTCTACCTGCAACTTCTACACATCCATTAAGATCCTGCCCAAACAATTCTTTGTGATATATGCCCCCCATAAAGTTTATTTTCCTTTTTGTGCTTCCACTTACCTTGAATGAACTGCAAACTTAGCATTTGCCCTATTGATTTACAGTCTCCTTTTTTACTAGACTAGGAGGCCCTAAGAGTCAGATTGCATTTGGAGGGTTGAAACATTTTTTATAAATTTTGCATGAGTGAAATACTATATATTTGCTGTAAAAAAAAAAAAAAATAGAAAAAGGGCCTCCCCAGTGGCGCAGCGGTTGAGCGCTGGGTTGCGAAGCTGCCCCCAGCCTCTGCAGCTCCGGCCTCTGGGTGAGGGTCCCACATGGCGCGCAGACCTCTCCTGCCGCCCCGTGCTCCCCTCAGCAGTGTATTTCGTCAGTCTGCCTGCTCTGCTCCCCGCTCTGGCTCTGGTGAATTCTCTCACCCTCCCGCGCTTCTGACTGTACCTAGTGCTTGTATAAATAAATACATAAATAAATCTTTTTTTAAAATTAAAAAAATAGAAAAATATGCTGTTGCAAATGTGCAGCATTTCAACTTTAGCATGAGTTTAAATTTTTTTTAAAGATTTTTATTTGTTTATTTATGCATATAAGAGCTGAATGTAGGCAGAGGTGCATGGGGGTGAGAGGATTCACTCTGTATTTGGGGAACAGAACAGGTGGATTGACTGAAATACACTGCTGAGGGGAGCAGTGGGTGAGACAGGAGAGGTCTGCTGCACCATGTGGGTTAGCTCCCTGGCCAGGGATCAAACTTGTGCTGCAGTAGCTGCAGATAGCTTCATAGTGCTGATGCTTAACCCCTGTGCCACCAGGGAGACCCCTGAGTTTAATTTTTATTGAAGCTTTTGGAAGTAGAGCAGGGAAGCTCCCCAAATACATACATGTGTACATACAGACAGGCAGATATATACTACGTGTGGATAATAGAAAGAGAATTGACTGTTCACAGAGATGAATCTGCCCTTCTCCTCCAGCACTTGTACTCTGGGGTTATTCAGGTGCCAAAAAGAATTTTCACCCGACCCCTCTGGGTTTTCCTTGGCCTGGTCGACAATGAAATTAACATCAGACAAATTAATAGGAGGAAAGAACAAATTAAATTACATATGTATGAAGAATCTACATAGATGTAAACTCCAAGTGAAATGGGGTGTAAAGAGGATATTTATCCTGAACTACTGAATGAAAATGAGCTAGGGGCCTGGGTCCTTAAGGTGAGAGGAAGGGGGCTTCACATGATGAAAGGGCCGGATGTTCTATAAACGTGTTTGCCCTGCCTTATAGGTTTCTCCCATAGGAAGGTTATTTCTAGAGATAATCCAAAATATGAGAATTACCCTCAACTCTTCTAGGTAGTTAAGGGAGTGGTGAGTGCCTCGGCTGACCTTAGCTCAAAATAATCCACATGCCATTGTTTTGACTCATCATAAGAAAGCTGGTTCTGGACACCTTGAGGAGCCTCTCCCTCTGTCCTTCAGGTACAAAGATCAAAGTGGAACATAGGCAGGAAATACTTTTTTTTTTTGGTCTCTGAAAAAGCTTGGAATTATTGGGTGCAGCAAGAGCTGCCCTTCCATAGGAGGTGTCACAAATTGAGCATTGTCTAGGCTAGAGACTGTTAATCTCCTAAGCGTGGCATTACAAACAGCAGGATATGGTGTACCAATTGTTTTTTCCCAGAAGCTAAATATCCGGTCAAAAGCTAAATTTCCCATCTTTGGGAAAATCCAGGTTGTCTGTATCTATCTGTGATTTGCATTGGAAGGTATCATGACCACCAAGATATAGTAAGATATAGTTCAATGAATGATTTGTTTTTCTTTCCACCCTGGGTACATGTGTTGCCTTCCTTTGAGGTAGTGACAGTTGGTGGTGTTTCTTTACATGTGTATAAACAAAAATATGCATACATATGTATATGTATGTATCAGTCAGTCTGGTTCCTGTATAAACCTATCTAGATGACTTTGTTGTGGTAGAGTTTAGAGGTTTTTTTAAAGAGTGTGGTAATACGTTTATTATTTTTCCTCTAAGTATTGTATTTGCTTGTTCCAAAATTTTGAATAGTACTAAAAATTAAAACTTTAATTCTCTCTTCACCCTTAAAGGTAAGTAGTTTGGTTGTCAGACTTTTTTCTTATGCATTTGTATGAGTCCATTTATGTTTTTCCTACCCAAAGGGATCCCATCCTACATACAGTTCTCTAACTTCATTTTTGACAAAGTAATATTTGTGGCCATCTTTCCAAGTCAGTATTTATAAATATATCTCTTTGAATTGCTGCATAGTATTTCATATGTATAAAATGATGGATCAATTGTTATATAGTTTATCAATCTTTATTTACGGACATTAAATTGTTCCCACTTTTTCTTTTATAAACAATGTTATTTCTGTTACTAAGGGTTTTTTTGGTTTATATATATATATATATAGGTTTTATATTATAATGTGTGTGTGTGTGTGTGTGTGTTTTGGGATATATATATATCCCACGGAAATACTGGTTTAAAAACCTGTATTTATAATATATATTAGATACATTATAAACCTATATATTAAATATATATTAAAAACCTATATTTATATAATCCTGTATAAATATATATTTCCCCCCAGAAATAGGATTACTGAATCAAATGCATGCATCTTTTTAAAAATGTTATAGTTAATATCAGACTGAATATAAATTTTTTTTAAATCAGCTTATGCTTCCAACCAAAGTGAATTAATTTGCCTGTTACCCTGCCACTGTATGAATGTTGTATGGAGTCAGTCTTTTTCATTTTGGTAATCTGTTGATATCTCATTGTCTAAATTTGCAGTTCTTCAGTTAAGAATGAGGTTGAGCTCTGTTTATTGGCCCTTTATGCTCTGAAGAGTTATCTTTTCATGCTTTTTGTTCATTTTTGCACTGGGTTGTTTATCTTGCTGAAGTATTGTGATAGAGCCGTAATTATTGGTATTCAGAATTGATGAAAGTTGTGTGTTTTCATATGGGACATTTTTGTTTGTTTTGCATTCTCCTCACTATTCTCTTTCCCCTCCCTCTCCTTCCTTTTTAAAATAATTTGTTCTGTCATCCAATCAGGGTTTAAATTAGTTGTGTTTGTTGTGAGGGGAGCTGTGTGGGAGGAACTAAGTAGTGAAAAACTGGAATGCTTCTCTGCCCTCACTAGAGAGTGGGTATCAGAGGAGATGGAAAGCAGGAGTGTGTCTTCTGAAATAATATTTTTGGGCACTCATGCAGTGGAATTATAAAAGGTTATAGAAGAGTAACTGAAATGCTCTTTCCTCTCACTCATGCATTTCTTTCAGTTCCTTTGTTCAAATGAATTTCTTGCACTTACTATTAAAAGTGTTAGATTCAAAACATCAAGGACTGAGAACATTTAAATTACAGCCCTTTGGGAATCTGTTTCTAGCCCTAGCGAAGACAGACCATTTCCTTCAGGAATACCTGGGTGGTGAGCCTCCCAACCAGCTTGCCCTTGTGGCTGTAAGGGATCACTAAGGGTTGTAAAACCCAGGGTAAATATAAAGCTCTATATAAGTGGTAATTACTGTTATTGTTCTTCAACATCCTTAAATTTAAAGCTGAATTCCTACCAACTAATGCAGTCCAGGGGGAAATTAAAGGTCTCGTGACATCATCTCCCTAATAAAGAGGAGTCTGTCTACTGGCCAGTGATGCTCATTTGTTTCCTGAGAACTTCAAGGGAGGATCGTAACATCATTTGGGCTGGAGAGATGAGAAATTTGAGTTTTCACTTCTTTTGAATTGGTGAAGGGTTTTTCCTAAGAGAATATTTATTTTGGTCAAAAATCCCTCCTTGGGGACCCTTCTTTTATCAAGAACAAAAGCCTCTGGCGGCCTTCTGACAACCTTTGGGGCAGTTGGAACCATATCTAGTTGCCTATGTAGCTGTCTCTGGACACTCCACTTCTTTTGCAAAGTTTATTAGTTTCTTGAGAGGAAAATCTGAAGACGGGTTGACTCCAGAACCTCAATGGGGGGTCGAAACTGCTGTGGGTGTGGCTGTGGCAGGTGTAATGGGTGTGCCAACAATCGCAGCAGGAGTGTTGACTCTAGGACCAGATGTCCTGATTCCCGGAACAGATATGAAAATTCCAGAAACAGGCACTATGACCGGGATCTTGAGGTAAGTCCTTGCAGAGGGAACCCCTCTGAGTCAGCTTTGCCCACTGTCTCTAGTAATATTTGAGTATGAGGGACATGATCATGAACCAATATCTATTACTATTATGTAGGGTGTCATTTTAGTTTTGTATATTTGAAGATATCCTGGGCATTATCTTAATATACTCACTTGAATACATTTCCTCCCACTGAGTGCTAAACAGTTTTAGTTTTGTTTTGTCTTTGCAATTGATTAGAGCTTAACTAGCAAAGCAAATGTTGGTGAAGGTGGTTCCTACTAGACAGTGTTTTTTAAGACTTAGTCTGTTCTACTCTGGGCTTTTCCGAATTGCTAATGATGGGAAAGGCCAAGCTATTTTATATTCTCTCCAAAAGTCACTTTCTTTTATGCTGAGGACTCATTGCAGTATCCCAAGTTCTCATTTGATTTTTTTTTAAAGATTTATTTATTTATGCATACAAGAGCTGGGGTACAGGCCAGAGGTGTGGGGGGGTGAAAGGATTCACCAGAGACAGAGTGGAGAACAGAACAGGCAGATTGACTGAAACACACTGCTGAGGGGAGCAGCGGGTGAGACAGGAGAGGTCTGCTGCGCCATGTGGGTTGCTCCCTGGTCGGCAGAGGATCGAACTCGTGCTGCAGGGGCTGAGGATTGCTTCATAGTGCGGTGCTTATAACCCTTGTGCCACCAGGGAGGCCTGTTCTTATTTGATTTAAATGTTAATAAATCGCATAAAAGAGACCTTGATAGCAGAATTATTAGTCAAAGATTCTGAATAAACAGCTAAGAATGACTTTTTGTCTACCTTTTTGTGATTTAACAGCAGATGTTGTCTTAAGTTTGAGAGGTGAATCAACGTCTTTTTTTTTTTTTAAGATTTATTTATTTATTTATACAAGCACTGGGTACAGTCAGAAGTGTGGGAGGGTGAGAGAATTCACCAGAGCCAGAGCGGGGAACAGAGCAGGCAGACTGACGAAATACACTGCTGAGGGGAGCAGGGGGCGGCAGGAGAGGTCTGCGCGCCATGTGGGACCCTCCCCAGAGGCCGGGGATCAAATCGGCACTGCAGAGGCGTGGGCAGCTTTGCAGCCCAGCGCTCAACCACTGCACTACCAGGGGAGGCCCTGAATCAAGGTCTTAACCCCCGTGGTTACTCATTATCCCCAGTCCTTGTTTGCGAAAGCCAGTGTGTTGTTTTAGTGTTAAATCTTTTGTGGAGTGGCCCTCACCACCAGCCAGAACTCACCTTTGATGCTTATCCATTGGTCCTCTCTCTACCTGTAATATTATACATTTGTTTTGTTTTGTGCATGTGGGCTTTAAAGCTGTTGGAAAGGAATGTGTAGAATGTATATGTCAGGTGGGTTTTGTAATGTGTTCTAGGAAGAGCATGCTCTGTATACTTCTGATCTATTATTTTTCATCAGGATACTGATTAGAGTATAACCCATAATTTAACAAAATAGGCAATAGATTTTAAAATATGTGTATGTTACAGACACACACACACACACACACACACACACACTTTTGAAGAACATCTAAGTGCTAAGTAAGTGTTGAAAGCCAAACAAAACCTTTGAAGTTGGCAGTTTGCTGACCACACAGATGGACTCTTTTAGTTGTTTCTTGTATTTGAAACTAGAGGGAAGGGCTTAGTATTTTAATTATTCTATATTTATTCCCGTGACTATTGATTTTGCTGTCATTTCTTCTTAGATTTTTCTCTGTCATTGTACCTGATGATTTTCTCTTTTGGAAACTTTAATCAAATACCATCTATAATGAGATTTAAAAAAAAAAAAGACCCACCATGCATAGATTTGTGTCCTTTGCTAATTATTAGTTAATTATCAGCTACCCAGGGGTATTTTTAATGAGTTCCAACCAGCAATGGAATAAAATGCCAAGAGGACTACGAGAGAAAACTAAAATTTGTGACTGGAAGACAAACAGGTGACACTAACTTAAATGCTTGCAGCCTGACTGATTATGACAAATGCAATTTAAATAAACCTCTCCAAGACACCTGATCTCAGGAAACATTGGACCATCTGGCCTAATTTCCTGTTGGCCATCACTGAAGATCTTAGAAACCTGAACATTAACATGTCACCAAGAACCATAAATAATGACATATTTTCCATTTTATTTTATTTTATTAGAATCTCAACATGAAAATTAAGCAACTTAGAAAATGAGGGAAGTAGGAACTGTTTTTGTCACTGCTGCTAAAACTCCTAATTTCAGGCATCTCTCTGTTGGTGATGGCATCGTTCAAACCAGATACATGATTTTGCCTTTGGATTCTCTCATAACTTCTGCTTAAAATAAGTAAAAGGAATATCAAAATGCTTTAAGAATTAATGAGGCTAGCAATAAAGTGATGTCCCATCATAATGCACATGTTAGTGCAAAATATTGAATTGTTTCAGGTATTTTATGAAATACTATATATATTATAACAAAGATAAATGTCCTTTCAGAACTGCTTTTCTTGGTGTTCCTATTAATTTTAAAGCAACAATAATCCATACTAGCTTTAATAATATAATACATATGCATAACTGCAAAAAATATATACTTAATCAACCATCTAGTCATCTTTAAAACTCTGATTAAATGTTACCTCATTGGTGAAATTTCCAGTTGGTATTTTCTGATACCTCTCATGTGCTCATGGAATTTTATTATGTCCCAAGAAATTTTTCCATATTATTATTATTCAGAAATTATAGCTTTTCTCAATAGACTTCTCTAGGATATTCACATCTTATACCGGATGCAGTGCCTGGCATAGAAGACACTCAATACATGTCATTGCAATGTGTAAAACAATTACAAAGCACTGAATGTAACCAAAAGACCAGAGCTCTGATTGAAGCTCTTCTTTAGACTATCGGTGTTATCCTCCCTGGTCATCAGCTTTCATATTTGTTAATGAGGGGAAGAGAGCCCATTTGATAGTATCCCTGTAGAGCCCTAGGACTCCGCTTAGGGACCTGGGAGGCTACAGCAGCAATAAAGGAATGAATGCAAAACTGGATGGGAGAGCTTGAAAGCTTCTTGCCACGTCTTCATTTGAGACACTCACCTTGTATTTGTTTTCTACACATGGCAGAATTCATGTACAGCTTTTTAAAAATAAAGTGATTTACTGGGCCTCCCTGGTGGCACAAGGGGTTAAGCACAGCACTCTGACCCTATCTGCAGCCTCTGCAGCATGCGTTCGATCCCTGGCCATCCAGGGAGCTGCCCATATGGTGCAGCAGACCTCTCCTGTCTTGCCCTCTGCTCCCCTCAGCAGTGTATTTCAGTAGATCCTCCTGTTCTGCTCCCTGCTCTGTCTCTGGTGAGTCCTCTCACTCCCCTCCCCGCACCTCTGGCCTGTACCCCAGTTCTTGTATGCGTAAATAAATGATTCTTTAAAAAAATAAAATGATTTACTGCTGAAAAAAATCACGACAACAACTAGGCTAGGTTATATACAATGTTATTTCACTTGTAATATCTGTAATTTTATCTAACCCTTTTATGAGTTCATCTCATCATCTTGTCTTTTAAAAGAAACTTTATTGCACTGTTCTCATGAACTCATTAGTACATGTTCCTATCCCCAACACAGGTCTTCACTTCTTAATTTTTACCTAACAAACTCATCTATTACATTTTGTATTTATTCTTTAAAATACGAATAAGATGCTTGTCCCTTCTGAATTTTCTTTAGTTTGCAGAATCACTCCTCAATTGAATGAATTATTTAGAAGTTTGTTTACATTCCATTTGAACATTAGCAACCTAGTTTAATCTGTTAGTCTGATGAGGATATTCTTTTTTTTTTTCACCAGTTTTATTGGTTATAACTAATATACAACATTTTAAGTAGAAAGTATACAATATGTAGATTTATGTGGTGAGGGTATTCTTGGTCACTTCTTTTTAGGCATTTATAAAGTCACTGAATACAATGCTATTCAAATTGGAATCATTGGGAAAGGCAGTTGAATAAAATCCTGACCTTCCTGTGTTGCTAGCTGACCTAGCAATGAGTCGTCTTCTCTATTTTCATCTTTTTGAAAAGTAGCATTTGAAATAGCAAATATTTTTGAGTTTGTGAGTAAATGTTCATGTCATCCAAAATACTAAACAGAGCATCACATCTATTTACAACATATAAAGATTAATGAAGGAATTAGTAAGTACATTATAGGAGAAATGGAAAGACGTTCTAGAAAGTCAAAATGTACTAAATAAAAGAAGGGAGTTAAACCCGTGCACTCACCATTCATTCAAAACTTATTAAGTCCCTGGTGTTTGCAGGATTAATTGTGACATTCTGCCAGTGGTCCTGTGCTCCTGTGTTTGCTATGCATTTATTCAGTTTGTGCTGTTAATGAGATACCTTGGGAGTTTCTCCTTTCAGTAGAAACGGAAGGAAATAAAAACGGAATTATTGACTGACTCAGTCACACGAATTTCTTACAACTTAGCCTGAACCAAGAAATGGCAAATAATTTTAAGATTAAAAAAAAAAAAGATACAGTTAGTTGTTACTTTGATACTGTATTGTTCTGTTTTATTATTCTAAGAGGCCTCGTCAGAATCAACCCATTGAGCAACTAAGAAGATAATTTAACCAATATAGAGTGGGTTTGATTACAGAGGATGGTACAAAAAGGAACTTAAGAAGTAGAATGTTTTTTAGGAATAAGTGTGGAGTGGAGACCAATTTTTAAAAGTAGACAGAGAAATCATTGTAAGATCTCCCACAGAATGTGTGATGAATGACATATTTCAGCAGTAGTGGCACTGATATTCCTGGTATGATGGAAAGGTTGGGTATAGAAAAATAAAAAGCTGTGCATACAGTTAGGAATTGGAAACTGCCCAAGTAGCAGTTAAAATGGTATGAACTTGTATTAAGGCGGAGGCTGCTGGATCGGCCGCAGTCAAGAGACCTGATGATAAATTGTAGGTAGGAGCAAAAGCAGAGGAG